ATAGATAGATAGATAGATAGATAGATAGATAGATAGATAGATAGATAGATAGATAAAGATGAAAAGAAAGAGAGAGAGGTGGGGGAGAGATGGTTGGGGAGCCTGTGATTAGTTGAATGGGGGTGGGGGTCATATGCCTCGAGGCTTGTGTTCTAGCTTTTTCCGTCAAGGATGGGACAAAGTCTGCCATTTGGTCTAATCCGACCTGAATCCAACTAAATTCGCCTGTGAACCCTTGACATTAAACGCTTTTGTTTTTTAAGGTCGCGAGTCGAATCAGTTGCACTGTGCCAACATTACAGCTTTTGCCCCTCCATGAAAGAAAACCTGCTTGGCCCCCGACTGAAAGAAAAAGAAAGAAAAGACAATTCACATGAGACAAGACCCTCGTCTACAGCTCTCGACGATGAGACTGATGTACTAAACTGATAGCTATAAATCAAAGTAATGTTCTCCCAGAATTCATACCGCGGTTGTAGAGGATCTTCAATAACTTGTAGCTCATTGCATCACATTACCCCTGAGGAATAAAAGAAAACCTTCATCAGTCACCTATATCGGCCAGTCCCAGTCCCGCCTTGCTGGAGGAGAAGAACGTGTCCATAATCTTAGAAAAAACCAAACCAAACCAAACAAAAAAATAAAATAAAAAAATAAACCAAAACCAGTGTAATGTTCTTACCCAGAGGGTCATTTGCAACTCAGTTTCGATGCAAGGCAAAGTAAGCATTGAGGGTCAAGTTTTCCGTTGACTTGTGTCACGAGAAGACTTAAAGTTAAGTTACTGAATGTCGCTCTTGAGAAAACTGCAGAAATGACTTATCAACACAGTCTGTCTTTTTTTCTATTTCTGGATAACGGTTTCTACATCTGTCTTCAAGCCTGTATAACGCTACATTTCACCCTAAAGGAAAAAGAATGGAAAAGCTAACAGACATAGACGAAAAAGAGAAAAACTCAATGAACTGAACGGAACACCCTGTGTTTAACATTAATCCAGTTAAAATGGAAAAAGAACAGTCAAACAAATCAACCACAACAACAGCAACAAAAAGCCCAGACAAAGTAAGGAAAATGCAGAGTCGGTGTCAGTCGGACATTGAGAGAGGGTCGTTGGGAACGATGAGTGAAGAAACTAACTTTCTCGTAGGAACAATAGTCGGGTACCGCTTTTAGAACCTAACCTCCGTTCTGCCCTTGTACGTTAGTCGGAAAGAAAGACGTGAACATGAGCACTATCTCGGAGAGAATCTAGATGGAGTCTCGTTCTGATCTATGGACATGATGGAATGATTGGTCACCCCGGCCACCTTGCCCCGCCCTCCTTTCACTCATCCATCAGAAGTTCTTCTCTTTTGAGAGAGGTACGGGATCGTGGAAGGGGTACGCAGTTATACATTTGTAGTGGCGGCTTTACGTTGTGGGTTTTGGGGTTTGGGAATTGGAGACTGTGAGGAGGTGGAGATGAGGAGAATGGAAAAGGATAGGGATGAGGTGGAGGGTGGGGTGGGTGGGTGGAAGGAGGCTGCTGATCATCGGGTAAAGAGATTGGGGATAGGGATATTGATACCATCAGCATTTCGGTACATTTATTTCGGGACATACATTATACAGTGAAGCTTGGTTGATTATTGCTCTCGAAGATAAGGTAAAGATTAAGGCAGCGGAAGTTTGCAAATTGTTCATAAGGTGAAGGACACGATATGAATACTATACTAATATTATGACGAGGATTCTTACGCAGACGGTTCAACGATCAGGTTTATGTGTTGTCTTTGACCAAGGATATAATGTGGAGCATAATAAAAACAACAGCAGGAAAACATTTTAGTGAGTGGAAGAACATTCGTATAGCGAGCGGAAAGCAAAACATCTTCAGATGAAAGACAGCGTTCAAGGAAGTGTTTCGGTCTTACCTATCTTATGTTCCAA